CCAAACCAAGATTCGTCGCTTGACGTGATCGCTTGGCCGGGACCAAAATTAGAACGAAAGTATTGTCTCAGAAGTACCATGGTTCCGTGGCGGCACCATGAGCTGAGCACCTTTACATCTGAGAGGAAGCAACCACCTATGGTAATTAAGAAAATGCTCAAAGCTTAGATTGAAGCACTCACACTTCATTCATCATCATTCTGATGCAGAACTCAAAACCGAGTCTGGAGCGACTCTGTGCAAATCAAACCTGCACTTACCGGTAGTGTGCGAACACCTGATTGATCCAACCCCCATAGTTTGACACCCTGGTGTACACATCAAGATACTCATTGCCGACTCTGAAGCCATGCGAGGTGATTCCGATCTGATAACCGTTCAATAGCATCGGCCCTCCACTGTCACCTTTGGCAGTGCCAGCCAATCCTGAACGGTAACTCCCTGCACAAATCTTTTTGGCGGGGTCAAAATCCTTAATCATCGCCTTGCACAGCGCAGAATCAGCAATCTGAGTGTAACCTTCTCTTAGTTTGTCTGCTTGGTACCACTGTGAATGACGATCCACTGCTCCCCATCCAGCGATCAATGGTTTCGAGCCCACATTGTACCACTTCCGCCGGGACAACCTTGCCACTGATGCACCCGAGAAGCGTCGGGTCAAATGGAGGATCGCAATGTCGTCATTCCCATCATTCCCATTGTACGAGGAAGGAATCACGAGCAGGTCCACCCCCCGAACTGATCCAATTGTTGTCTCCCTGACCCCACCAAACTTCGACGATGCTGGCATCAAGAAACATAATCCGTCCATTTCGCATTTGGGAAACACAATGTGCTGCTGTAAGAACGACAGACTCACGGATCAAAGTACCTCCACACATGTGACTGCGTTTTCCTCCACGGCCAATCCATTTGATGGCAACCAAAAAGGGATATGTGGACTGGTAGCGCGCCCAACTCACAGACTTTGCAAGACCATCGACAGCCCAAATCCGCTCCTGCAACGACAGTGAATGACTCGCTTATTGTTATCATGAAGTGCAAAAAAATCGGAAAAAAAACAACAACATGAATGAACAAGACAACGCATCTGCCTCTGAAGGATAGTGAGGTGGCTGTCCATTCTCTTGTGGCTCTGAGTTGTTGGCGGTTGGCTCGCTTGACATGTCAAAGTCCGTCCCGTTCTCTGCGGGGATCGAAAGTGCGATCACGTTGGGACAGCGCTGACAGACATCGCCAGGCACACATTGGCACACGCCGCAGTCGGTGTAGACCGCTGGGCAATCTTGGAGAATGGATCTTCTTGAACTGCTTGGCACGGCCTGCCAAGGCCACTAGTCCCGCCTAGTCCCATCTAGTCCCCTGTTCTGTGAGCCGGAATGGGTCGTAACTTGATTGTTTAAAGACATTTAGAGACATTGACATGGGTTTGCTGCGCTCGGCAGCCGAATAGCAAGGAGTTCATGTCCATTCACAATCAACCTGCATGTCAAAACCATGACTATCTGGCACACGGCAACTTGGCAACAGCTGAACCCAAAACACACAAGTTCAACAAAAGAATCGTGAATTTGCCAACTTGTTTGGCATATCTTTGGCCACTCGTTTGACGTTCGACCTGCCGACAGGTCCCCATGTGCCTGAGGAGATCCTGTTGCTGCGCACCTTAGCTCTGATCATCCGAAGCAA